GAAGGGTCCCGCCCTCTAGTGCCTGTCTGGGGAAGGGTCCCGCCCTCAGTTAACATAGGTCTTCCCACATTGATTAGCCCAATAAAGATAATCCTCCATACGTGTTCCCAGAGCCTCGTCTGTCAGGTGATTCTAAGTCAGTATGACAACAGGAACCACTACAATTCCTACTACAGTGGTTCTCAGCCTTACTGATGCTGCTGTGACCTTCTAAGACAGTTCCTCATGTTTTAGTGACCCCCAACCATACAATTACTCTCATTTCTACTTCATGACGGTAATTTTGCTAATGTTTTGAATTATAATGTAAATATCTGACATGCAGGATATATGAGGTGTAACCCCTGTGAAAGGGCCATTCAATCCCCAAAGGTTGAGAACCACCATCCTAAGAGCATTAGACCTGTAGGAAAAACCATAATTAATCCTGTTCCATGCAGAAGTAAATGATAATGTACACTTGATGACTTTTCAGAAAACAAACATGCATGTAGCTGCTACTTGGATAAAGAAATGAGTGGGCGTGGTCCTGGCCAGCCCGTCAGGGTCTTGAGGAAGACAAGCTCTATGGAAGCCTCCCACCCCTTACCTAGGATTACCCATGTTCCTAACCTCTAACAACATGCATTTGTTTACCTGTCCCTTACTTTCTACAGCTGAAAATCCTAGGGATGTTTACCCAGAGCACAATGACTAGCTTCCATCAGTATTTCTGGGCCCAGAAGACGGAATGCTCAGCTTTGGTAGATACAGTTAGGATTGATGTAAGGGATAATGCCTCATGCCTATAACCCTAACCCCCAGGACTGAAGGAAGAGGAGCCTCCACCCCAGACCAACCTGGGCTACATAGTGACCCCATCTCAAATGAGACAAAGAACCACACACACACACACCACACACACACACACACACCACACACACACACACACACACCACACACACACACCACACACACACCACACACACACACACACACACACACCACACACACACAAACACACACAAGAGATCATCAAGAAAGCCTCCAAATAAGCTTAACCCATGGCTGCAGCCTCAACTCTTCTGTCCTGCACTGGTAGTTTCCTTGTTCATGTGCTCCCTGCCCCAAGTCATTCTGTCTTACTACCCCTCTCCCCTGCCCTGGACATTGGACTTCTGTAAATGTATCACTTTCTGAAACTCTTGTCACAATTTGGAGTAAACCTTTTCATTGTGAGTTGCCAGACACATATTTGGTGCTCAAAATAAACAACAAGAAAGAAAAACAAAACGAAAGAAAATGTAGGAGCGGACCACCAGGAAAGCCAGCTTGAGAGGAATTGCTCCCAGGCCTCCTCTTCTGAGATATATGGCCACTGCTTGGTGCTCTGGAGCCTGGGGAGCTCAGGGCCTTTGGAGCATCTTATTCCCAAGTGCCTGCACTTGAGCACTGCCCTTGCCAGACACTGCGCCTCCCCTGGCTCTTGACTCCATGCCAGAGGACACAGTGATAGCAACTCAGGTGTGAATGTTGTGTCAATGATTGACTGGACCAGAACTTGGCTGCATATTTCCAAGCACAAGCTGTGAATGCATCACTAATAGAGGCCCCAGAGGCTGTTTGAGTCTCCTTCCTCTGGGGAGGTAGACAGAGCCAAGTCTCTCACCATCAGCCCTTGCATATTATAGGAGGACAGGACTGGGCTTTGACCCAGCAAGGACTACATCCCACTTGCGTCCTGAGGGAGGCTTCATAACAATCACATTGCAGGGGGTGTGCAGAGTCATGTCCCCTCTTGGAACCCCAAAGAGTCCTGTCGAGTAGGCATTATTCATTCTGTCTAGAATGAGCAAATGTAAGCCGAGGTGTACAGCTTAGCTCAAGTATTCAGCCAAAGCACATCCTATTCAAAGAGTGGGCTCTCCCAGCATCCCATTTCTCCTTTCTGTGCTTGGGAAGTAACACTGAGAGGGAGATGAGTGAGCCCAGAAATATGTGTTGCCTTCTTGTGTGCGCCTCCCTGAACTGGGCTCTTGTAATTTCATTTCGTTCAAACTTAATAGCTATTAAGAACATAATTGTTCTAAAATTAATATTTAATAATAAGCATTTCTATTTACTTAATATACAGCGCAATGTAGGTCAGCGTTCAACAAACTTTGCCCATGAACCGAATATGACACACTGTTTGATTTTATAAATAAAACTTTATTGGAATACGGCCATGTCTGTTCACATAGTGCATAGCAAAGTAGGTAGCTGTGACAGGTTTTCTGCCTCATAAGGCTAAAATACCTACTATACATCCCCTTCCAGAAAAATCTTCCCTGATTTTACTGCTTACTAGCTGGAATATTGTTTCTGTAAAAACAAAAAAAAAATCAATATTTCAATGTATTTATTTACGTGTGCCAGTGTGTAGGTACCATAGAGCGTGTGTGAAGGTCAGAGGATAGCTTGTTGGTGTTCACCGTGTGGGTTTCAGGGATCAAACTCAGGTTGCCAGGCTTGGCAACAAGCACCTTTACCTGCTGAGCCATTTTGCCAGCCCCAGCTAGGACACTGTGTAGAAGTTGTTCCACTTTGCTGTGCGCCAGCTGTAAAAGTCATTGCCAGGCTGGGCTGTTAAGCATAAAAGGCACCTGGAAGTCAGTGCTGGCTGCAAGGATCTGTCAGGCCCTGTGCCCTGCAAACATTGCCTCATCTTCCTAGCAGCCTGGGGTGGTAGAGATTTCACATGCCCCATTTCAAGATCAGCAAACTGAGGCTGGACAAGAGGGATTGGCTGCTCCTAAGGCAAAAGGAGAGGACTTGGTTGCAGAGACTGGTACCCAAGGAGGGAGGTTAGCTCACTCTTGTCTTGGTGATGCTCTTCAAAGCAGGCAGCGCTTTGTGAGACAATCTCTTGATCAGAGTGCACAGATACCATGGGATCACAGCTGAGGAACAGGCTGCACGCCCTAAGCAGTCAGGGAAGAGTTCCTGGAAGAGGAGCTGGAAACCTCCTCCATGGCAGAGGTGGTCTCAACAACTCACTGTCACCCCCCAGACACAGGAGTCCTTGAGTACCTTCTCTGCCAACTGCACGTGGAGTGTCGAAATTACAACACACTCATCTTGTCATCTTTTGATGGAATCAGGTCTCCGTTGTTCTTCAACAGGGAAGGACAAGCCAGCACCTGAGCTATGCCATGTGTAGGTGTGTGTTTGCACAAAGTACACTAGGCCTGCTTCATTCTTCATGGTCCTCCCTGAACCCAAGACATCATCCAAGGCCCTTGCTTGGGTTGGGTGGACCCCTGTTGTTGAGCATCCTTCCTCAGCATCCCTAACAATCAGATCTCATCCCTCTTGCCACACCCCTCCTCTGTTTCCACACACCACCCCCCATTTGGACTGTTGGGTCCGCCTAGTCTGTTACATAAAGTTCCCTGTGAAGCACTCTCTTTCCCAGCCACCCTGCCCAGTGTCTCTCCTACGCCCTCTTGTGAGCATTCTGAGAACTGCAATGAGCTTGCATCCCTTGCTCCTAAAGTCTAATTCTTGAGCTCCTGCAGAACTATTCCGTCAGGTTTGTTCAAAGCTCACCCCCCACACTTGCTCTCTGTCTCCTGAGGTGGGCTGGCTCCTTTGTTTGAGTCATTTAGCCCCCGGACTTTTCTTGTGCTCACTGCTTAGAAGGCGGCTTCAAGAAGCATCAAACCCTGTAATAGCCAGCGCCTGTTTTCTGATTCTACCACTCAACGCATATACCGCGGTACCATTCTATTGGCGTGGTAGAGGATGGGCTTGGTTCTTTTGTTACACTTATTTATGAATTAAGTATTCAAAGGTGTGTGTGCCACAGCTTGCTTGTGGAGGTCAGAGAACAACTCACAGGCATAGACTGCCCTCTTCCACCCTGTGGGCTGCAGGAAGTGGACTCAGGCTTGGTCTTGGCAGCACTGTGCTATCTCAGTGGCCTCCTGCTGAACTCCAGCAGGCTTCTCCAGTTTTGTCACATCCATCCACTCTTCCACCCAGCAGTGAGTCCACCCATCCACCTGCTGCCCCTGCCCCCCCCATATCTGTTTACACACCCCATATCTATACTTAAAACTTAGGATCAGCTATGACACGTGCTAAGGTACACAACTTTGCAGACATCTTCATCATCGTGGCAAGGTGTCAGTACCTGAGTTTGTGAATAGATGTGTCAGCAAATAAAGCAATGAATGACGGTATGAAAGAAAGTACTGGGTAGACACCCACTTCCACCTTTGCTCTAGTTCCTACAGTCCCTCTTGTTTGTTTATGTGTATGTATATACGTGTGTGTGTGTGCATGTGTGTGTGTGCATTTAGAGGTCCAGAGTTCAACTATACATGTTCTTTAGTCACCTTTTTTGTTTTCAAATGGGGCCTCTCACTGGCTTAGAAGTTACCAAACGGGCTAGCCTCCATGGCTTGCTAGTCCCATCCACCTGCCCATTTCCACTTCCCCAGCTCTGGGATTACAAGAACGCATCACCAATCCTGCATTTTTTCACTGGAGTCCTGGGGATCAAACCTGGGTCCTTGGCAAACACTTTGCTATCAAAGCTATGGCCCCAGTCCCTGGCAACCTCCTCTTTGGGCCAGCAGTGTTTCCCTGTTAAAATCCTCTACAGTAGAAAAGTGTAGTTGGAAAGAAGCTCTGGTCTGTAGTCTAAAACTCACGCTCCCTTCCCTGGCTGAGAACTTGTGGCAGAAGCAGCTGAACGGTCACCGAGTCCCATTTTCCTTCTAGACATAGAGCTGAGCCATATTCTAGGCCCCCTACACTTGACTGGGATCATGGATCAGAATTCTAGTCAACAGATTGCAACCAGGAGTAGTTTTGCCACTCTCCAGCCATGCCCATCACCTATGGTCAGATCCTGCATCTGGATACCAAGAAAAAAGAAGATGGCTCCAGGGCTCAAATCAAGTTGGAGCAACAAATGGAAAGAGCCTGGGTCACGAGAGGCATGAGGATCAGAGTGTCCCACATCTGACCTTGAACTGCCAATGACTTCCCCTGAACAGGAATCACTTGACCCCCAGTCACCATTACCTTTGCAGCTGATGGGCTCTAACCTGTTGCCCTCAAAAAACAGCTTCAACTCTGGGGCATGGGTGATGCCAAACTCCTGCTTAAGTTCCATCTCCACGGTGATGTCCACTTTGCCAAAGCCCAAGCCATTCTTGCCCTTCCCGAAGATCTCTGCAGCTTTGCCCAGCTCCTTGGCCAGCTTCCTGGACTGTTTTAAGGATGGATTGTCTGAAAGAAGCAATATAAAGATCAACTAGGCTTCTCTCTCCCCTTCCCTTTCTGGTCCTGTTTGTCCTGGTTTCCCCTGGCTTTTCCTGTGTTCACAGCTAAGGAGTAGGTTTCAGAAATATGACAGGCAGAGAGACAAATGCATTGTGAAATGGAATGATTTGGGAGATTATCAGAATCAAGTGAAATTAATTTAACAGTCAGTTACATGGTACTTTGTATTTTCTAAGGGTTTTACAGGTACTAAGACTATTGCCCTTCTCAATAATCTTATGAGGTAGATTTATTATTATTATTATTATTATTATTATTATCTCATTTTATAGTTGAGAAAACTGAGATACAACAAAACCACATACTTGCCCAAGGCCCTCATACCAGGACATACTCAAGCTGGCTGCAGAACTCCTGTCTTTTAAACTTTCACTAGGTATGTAAAAACACTTAAATTAATGCCTATCACATAATAAAGACACAATACATTTTAATTACTACTATTATTAAAACGGTGTAATTTTGGGGGGAGGGTATGTTTGGTCAGAAATTAAGGGCTAGTGATATAGCTCATTTGCGCCATCTGGTGGAACGTCTTGGAACTAAGCAATCGTGCCTCTCCTGCAGTGACTGGGAACTCTACAGCAAAGTCAGGAGAGAGGAATGTGTGATGGGCAGGGTACACTGGATACTCACTCCCCTCTCTGATCACACCACCTTGCCAAGGGGTAGCCAAAGGGACCTGGTACTCTGTTAAAGTATCTGATAGTCTGGAATCCTTGGTTGTTCACACAGCTGGGCAGCAAAGTGAGGTAGGGGCTCTTTACTAAAATCAGCCTCAGAGAACTGACCTTGGTCATGGCATGAGCTATGCTCTCTGGAGTGGAAGGAGATGACGTGGTAAACCTCCTGATGACATCACCAGACTGCAGGTCCCTACTGTCACATGGCAGAGATGTGTGCTGAGTCTGGACTGGGGAAAACAGCTTCCCTTTCAAGCCAGAACATTCTATCTTTTCCATCTGGCACACTTGAAGAGAGTACAGGTCACCTCCCAGCTGTGGCCAAGGCCACATCTGACAGATATATGTTTCATAAGGCAGATCCCGGGGAAGCCGGGCCTTATGACAGCTGGTGCTGTCCCTGTTGCCAGTCATTGGCTCAGAACTGGATCCTGAGTGAATGGTCATCCTCATTAACTCCCCAAGCATGGATGGGAAGCAGACTTCGTGCCTTTCACAGTCGCTACCTTCATCACCATGCTACCTTCATCACACCCATCTAGCTCCAGCAGCAAGCTCTGGCCTGTTTGCTGGTAGCTCTGCTCGGTGGCCTCTCCCAGCTTCCCTGTGGACCTCGTCATGCTGGGCTCATGATCGCTAAGTTTATGGGTGCATGTGATCAGTTAGGAGAAGCCTCGGGTGATTGCCAAATGGAGGGGCATTTAGAGATTCCACACAGAGCCCCGTGGGGTGTCTGAAGTGGAGGTAAGGAAGACCTTGCTGCCGTGGACATAGGCCTCTCAGACTTCGTCCCACCCACCCCTTCTTTTCTCCATAGTACTTTTAGCCTCAAGATGCACTGCAGGCTTTGCTTCTGAAGCATTTGTCTCTCCTCTCCTGGCTGTGAGTTCCGAGAAGGCAGTGTAGCTCACCCTGCATTGCTCTGTGCTGAGAATACATCTGGGGCACTGCAAGCATTCAGTAGATACTTACGAGTAGATGAATACATTTTCTGAAGATCAGTGTAATGGCACAGGACAGATTGAGAAGCTGTTGGGGTGCGAGACTGGGTTTTAAATGGAGACCAGTTAGTTGTGTGACTCTAACCTTTTCCAGACTCACTTCATGGGTAAGATGGGGACCACAGTACTGAGTAGAGCACTGCAATGCAGGTGTTTGATAAGTGTCCATTAAAAATTATCACTGCCGTAGTTAAAGCCATGACAGCTCTCATCATTAATGCCTTTTCATCACCACAACCATCATCACCATCAGCATCTCCATGACTACCACCACCACCACCATCATCCACATCACCATCTACATCATCATCTCCATCATCATCTCCAGCATCATCATCTCCTACACCTTAATCTCTACCATCATTACCATCCTCTCCATCAACATCACTGTGAAACAAAGTATAAATTGTAGCTAGCTTTTATAAAAGAAACACAATCCAGGTATTTTATTTACAAGATGTAAGCCTGTATTGGAGACGTTTTGGGAGCTGTTCTAACTTACATCCCAGCCATATGTCCCTTGTTATTGGCTGTTACTCCTGGCCATGTGCTCATGGTCCATCTCCTCTCACGGCAGCTTCCTCCTCTTCTGTCTCTTTTCTTCTTTTTCTTTCTCTACCTGCAACTCTCAGCCAGGTAACTGAAAACCTGCCTCCTTCTATCTACTGCCAAATCACAGGCTTCAGCCTTTTACTGACCATTTAACTTGGGGAGCAAGGTTACAGAGCATTACTTAGTGAAAGTGAGGATCTGCTCATCGGTGGCAACCAGATCTTGGGGGCCAGTGTTTAGCATTTGAGTACACAGCAGGGCCAGACCAACCCAACTCATCACTATCTTTATAATACTATCTATTCTGTATTAGTTACTTTTTTTTTTTGCTATACTAAAACACTAATCAAAAGCAACTTGGGGAGAAAAGCGATATATTGGTCTTGTGGTTCTAGGTCATAATCCACCACTGAAGGAAGCCAGAGCAGGAACTCAAACAGGAAGCCAATCGTAAACCGTACGCTGCTTACAAGCTTGCCAGGGACCACCTGCCCTAGGAATAGTGATACATTCTACAGCAATTTTCACCCTACTGTATCAATTAATAATTAATACAATACCCCATAGGCATCCCCACAGACCAAGATGAGCTAATCAGATTCTCATTTGAGGCTTCTTGTCTCAGATAACTCTATGCCACGTCAAGTAGGCAATCAAGGCTAAGCCGGACAGTTGTCACCAGTGCCTTTACTGTATTTCTCCTCATCACCATCTCTCTAGTATTACCTCCAGCATCACCAAGTCTCACCACTAACCCAATCTCAATCACCATCTTCATCGTGATCACCATCAGTATCTCCTGTAACCCCATGACACATTCTTGCGACCTTTGCCTTAGGGACAAGTAATAAATGGTCCTAATACAATGACTTCTAAATCTTTGCTTGGTCGCTTCCTCCCAAAAAGTGGACTTCCCCTCTTTCTTTGACTCATTCAAGTGAATTGTCACAGAGAAAATGAGATCCCAAGAAAATATCATTCATTCCTTCTTCATTCGACATGTGTGAAGACCTACCATGTCCCAATAGTTCCAGCTCTAGAGATAGACATGGGTAAGATTTGTTTCCCCACCCTAGAGTACATACAAGTTTAGAAGTGCTTTTGATATGATGTGGCAAATGGTACCAGAAGGAAGGCTAAGAAGGTGACTAGAAATGAGTCCTCCCCAGGCTAAATGGGAATGAGAGAAAGCTTCCTCATAAAAGATTTAAATCTCACAGTCCAAGTGCAAAACTGAAGGAAGGATGCTACAGAACCAAATGCAGGACAAACAGCCCAGAGACAGAAACCAGAATAGTCTACTCTGACAACTAGAGCTGCATTCTAGGAGTCCGTTTCTCTGGGCAACTTACAGAGAGCACATGCAAGGCATATGGAATCCATGGGGGAGTCTACTTCAGGTCCTGGGCAGGGAATGGTAAGAACGAGACAGTGACAGACAGTGTGGAGAGAGCTGGGGACCACAGAGTTTTGGATGCAGAAACAAGAGAGTATGGAGATGCATTTTATATGACGCTACAGCAAATTTGGGGATGACTCTGAGGTTTCTGACTTTCACACTGAATGTGTGGTGATGTCATCAGTGCACACAGGAGGTTAGGAGAAACAGGTGATCAGGACCAAATCCAAAATACTGGAGTTTGTTTTAGACACAGGCAACTTGAGACCTGAGAAGAAAAGACTCTTCCAAGCATTGACCTTGAATTCCGGAATCTTCAGAAAGATGAGAGACTGGCCAAAGGATTTGAGAGCCACTGAGATCTTTCCCAAAAACCTTTGAGGAAAATATTTATAAGCCTTCCCCAAAATAATCTTCCTAAAGTTCACTTTAGAAGGCCTGGCAGTTTTTAAAAACTCATTTTGAATTCAATTGTGTATTGACAGAATCAGTGATGGGAACTTAATGACTTTAATTGTGTGTCACTTTTAAATGACAATAATCTCTGCTCGTGTGAAGGGAAGTGTTCACATACTTTGAAGTGTTTGTGTTGGTTGCTATTGGAGTGATTTAAAAACATAAAGGCAAGAGCCAAGGCTGTATGTATTTCAGTAGTAGAGGGTTCAAGAAAAAAGACGTTAGCTTCCCCTGTGACAGAACAGCTATTAGTGAGCAGAATTTTGCTTTCTTACAGGGACAGACGAATGCCCAGCTGAGTGCCTGCAGTATTTTTGTGTTTTCTATGCACTTGACAGTATATGGAAGCCCTGTGGTCCCGCAAATTAGTGAGACGGGCACCACCTTTCATTGCCAGAGCCAGATACTCACGGAAAATCACCATTAGGAAGCGGGTCTCATTCAGTGTCTGGGTCAAACCTGCAGGAGTCAGCACCATTAAGTTATGATCCTCCAGGATGTGCAAAGGCTGGGAAATGTTGATGCCGGTGTCTATCTCTGGTGAGCCAAGAACCTCTGAGAGGCAAGCAGCCACCAGCAACTGTGTCCAGAGCAGTTCCATGGATGACCTGCAGAGGGCAGCAGAGGAAACATATCTCTTCTCAAACCTACACTGAGCATGGTGCTTGCAGGGCTCTTTGGCAGCAGCCCTACAGCAAAAGACAAGGTTGTCTGAGCAACCTCAAAGCCTGGGCACTGACTGTATAATGGAAGCTAGACCAATTCCCATTCATCGAGGCCTGGAATCAAACACAGGCCTTTGGAGCCCGCTGGTTTCCTAGCTACTTGGAGAGAAGTTTGTAGAATGAGTGCCACTGCAGAATGCCAAAGTGCGCCTCTGACTGGTCAGTCTCCTCCCACCATCCTGTTACCAACATTAACGCTACTTCCGCCCCTCCAACTCTACCCAGACCACTTCCTTTAACCCTTGAACCATACATTTTGTATTTTTCCTTTCCCAGTTTGGTACGTTTGATCAAAACACACTTCATAGGAGTGAACCACAGGTCAGTGTTTATGCTAGCATATTTCAAGATTTCCTTTGTCAATGCAATTGATCTAAATCTCTTCATTTTAGCTTCAGACTCTGAGACAAGGGCAAAAAGCAGCCAGATTCTTCACTAATATCACAATAAATCTCTAGGCTACATACTAACATTCTTATCCTCTAAAACCTCTTGAGCCAGGTCCCACAGTTTAAATCTCCCTCCACACTACTGTCTTCCATGGTCCCACTAGGAAGGCACTTAACTCATTCCACTGCTTTCCTAATCTAAAGTCCTAAAATCCACATTCCTCTGGAGCATGGTCAGGCCTATCACAGCAATACCCCAGTACCAACTTCTGTCTTAGGGTTTTATTGCTATGAAGAGACACCATGACCAAGGCAACGCTTATAAAGGAAAACATTTAATTGGGGATGGCTTACAGTTTCAAAAGTTTAGTTCATTATCTTTATGGTATGAAGCATGGCATCATGCAGGCAGGTGATACTTGAGAAGCTAAGAGTTCGACATCCTGATCCAAAGGCAACCAGGAGGAGACTAGATTCTACACTGGGTTGGAGCTTGAGCATAAGAGACCTCAAAGCCCACCCTCACAATGACATACCTCCTCCAATAAAGCCACACCACCTAATAGTGCCACTCCCTATGGACCAAGCATCGAAACTTATGAATCTATGGGGGTCAAATCTATGCAGCCACCACAGACCTGCCTTAATTACTGTTGTGATGAAACACCATTACTAAAAGCAAGTTGTGAAGGAAAGAGTTTACTGAGCTTATGCTTCACTATCCTTCACTGAAGGAAGTCAGTACAGGGACTAAAACAGGCAAGAACCTGGAGGCAGCAGCTGATGTAGAGGCCATTGAAGGGTTCTGCTTACTGACTTGATATTTATGTCTTACTCGGTTTTTCTGATAGAACCCAGGACCTCCAATCCCATGGATGGCACTACCCACAATGGGTTGGACCTTCCTCCATCAGTCACTAATTAAGAAAAATGCTCTACAAGCTTGCCTCTAGCCCAATATTAAGGCATTGTCTCAATTGAGGCTCCCTCCTCCCAGTGACTCTAGCTTGTGTCAAGCTGACATAAAACTAACCAGTACAAGACACCAATATCTATGTGCTTCAAAAGTTCCCAGATGATTCTTGAACTTATTGTTTTAACTCTTTACTTGGGAAATTTTGAACAGGTGCAAAATAGTGAAAATAGCCATATGTGTCCTCAAGACACCCATTCCTAAGGTCTACAGCCCTACAAATTATGGCATTTATAGTCTCATAAACTCTCCGCTGAGCTATTGTGAAGTTTATCTCTCAGGCTTTCTACATGTCACCTATAAATATTTCAATATGAACTTCTAAGAGATAAGGAATTTTTAAGAGTATAGAGACCATAGTACAATGATCATATTCAGTGGAATAGAAATAACATCTTTGTATTATTAACTGTCTAGGCAGTATACAAATTTTCCTAATAACTTCATGCATTTTTTGTTTGTGTGTGTATGGTGTGTGTGTGTATATTCGTGTGTCTGTGTGAGTGTTTACAAGCTACCACGCCTGTGTAAAGGTCATGGGTCAGGGAGACAACTTTGGGTGTCATACCTCACTTTCTCCCTTGCTTAAGGCATGTACTCTAAGTGTCTGATTCCAGAGCTCCAGGTCTGTATCACAGAAAACAGAACCTACCAACTGGAAAGACAAGCCCACTGTCTTATTCAGTGTTCTATTGCTGTGAAGAGACACCATGACCACTAGCAACTCTTAAGAAAAGCATTTAACTAGGGCTGCTTACAGTTTCAGAGGTTTAGTGCATTGTCATCATGGTGGGGAGCATGGAAGCATGCAGGCAGACATGGTGCTGGAGAAATTGAGAGTTCTACATCCAGATTCATAGACAGCAGGAAAAGACAGCCTCTGGGGCTGGTTTGGGCTTCTGAAATCTCAAAGAAGTGACACACTTCTTCCAACAAGGACATACTTCCTAAACCTTTCAAATAGTGCCAATCCCTGGTGACCAAGCATTCAAATCTATGTGCCTATAGAGCTCATCTTACTTAAACCACCACCCTCCCCATCAGCCTTCACCATACCCATGGAGCCAGAAAGCCATGTGAGTGGGGGAGCTAGTCCAGAGTGAAAGCGATGTCAAGACATCTCCAAACCATGAAACACTCTTCCTGAGACCCGCAGAAGTAGGACTGGTCCCTCTTTGCTCTGAGCCTGCGTGTGCCAGCTCATGATCTAGGCCTTGTTACCCTCATAGAGGAAAGCTGTTTCACTGAAGGCCTCTCAGAGAAGGCTGTTTCTCCCCCAACACTCAAGTTGGCCAAGTTCTTATGAACTCACCCTGCCCAAATAAGCTTCGTTCCTTCCAACCCTGCCCTGGTGCAATGGTTCCTGGACACCCTGAGGGCAGAAGCAGACTGGAGCAAGCATACGCCAAGTTTGCTTTCTCATTCATTCATTCATTCATTCATTCACTGTCTTAGGGTTTCCCTTGCTGTGAAGAAACACAATGGCCATGGCAGTTTTCATAAAGGACAACATTGAATTGGGGCTGCCTTACAGTTTTAGAGGTTTAGTCCATTACCATCATGGAAGCATGGTACCACGGAGGCAGACATAGTACTGGAGAGGTATCTGAGTGTTCTACATCCATATCCAGTGGCAGGAGGAAGAGCGAGTGACACACTTTCTCTAAAAAGTCTACAACTACTTCAACAAGGCCACACCCCCTGAGTAGTGCCACTCGTTATGATCCTATGGGGACCATTTTTATTCAAACCAGCACATTCACTCATTCACTGATTTGCTCACTACGCATTTTTGAGGGCATGATCCTTGCTGCTCTCCCTTCTAGGCATGGAAGACAGAGAAGTGAAAGAAGCAGACTAGAGGCTTTGTGTTCTGCTGGGAAACAAGTAGATGAGACAAAAAGGAAGATGGTGATAAGAGCTGGGGACAAGAGCAGTGAGGAAAGACTGGAAAATGATGGAAGAAGGGGACAGCATAGCATTTAAAGCAGGGTGATGGCAGAAAGCTTTGTCCAGGGAGCATGTGTCTAAAGCAGACAAATAAATGAACTGTTTGCATTCTCCAGGAGTGAAGAGAATGTAATCCCTCCTCCCAGCCATCACCCACTACCCTTCTTGATCTTTCTACTGAGAGTCCCTGAAGTCTAGGCTTGCCTTTGCATCGTCTCTGGGAGACCCTCAAGCTCTGCAGCCCTGCTGGCACTATGCCCTCAGCCGTTCCCTGCCTGTGCCTTGCCCATTGTTACCTTGTTACCTGGGTGTGGACCTCATTCTTTATGTGTCTGCCTGCTCCTGTGGACAGCACACTTTGTGTTTCCCTCTTGGGGCTCCTTCTCACTTGGACAGTGCTCAGTCCTAAAAATTCCAAGCTCAGATTCAATGTCACTCCCCAATTCAGGGGACAGTGACTAGAATGGGACCCTTCCTTGGTAGGAATAGCTGATGCTGAAGAGGAGTTCCCAAACCCTTTTGTGGGGTTTTGTCCACCAGGATTCCATCAATACCTCCATATCCCAACCACCATTGGCTCTTATCCAGACCATGTGATGCTCGATGATCTTCTATTCTTTGTATTCCTCACGACACACACACACACACACACACACACACACTCACACACACACACTCTCACAGAGCAATCAAAGACCACCATTTTTAATATGAACTAGACCAAGTTTCTTCTCTTTCTGGAAAGGTTCCCGTGATCTGCCAGCATGAATCAGCCAAAAACTTGTGTTAGTCTCTCAAGTCCAATGTCTCTTGTCCTCAGTGCCCTGTGACCTTGGCCCCTCCCCAACTCCACCTGAGGACTTTGCCTTTGTCTACAACTTGTTTATCTCACCTTCTGGTCATCCAGAGCTGAGCTTTGAAGCCCCCGCTGGGACACCAGAGGCAACCCCAGCTTAGATACTAGCCATCAGGTGGGGAGGCTTCTCATTCAACTCCATCTATAACACCCTGGTCTCCCAAACAGCAGTGTGTATTTCATATTCCAGTTTGGTTTTGCCAAGCTGATTAGATATTCGTGATCTTCCCACCTCAACCTCCTAAGCATTGAGATTCCAGATAATGAACCACAGCATCTGAATCCTTAAAGCTGTTAAATACAGATGAGCAGCATTGCTCATAGCTGCTTTTCCACCTCCTAGAACCACGTCTGAACCTGTTTTGATGCTAGTGAATAGTGAGTGAATGGATGGCTTCCTTTAATTCTTGCTACAAGCCCCATAGCCTATTTAGTGGGTCAATTACAACTACACAGTAAAGTTTTTACAAGAGTTTTGTTTTGTTTGTTTATGAATACTAATGCTTGAGTCTAAACCCGAACAAGTCTGGCGTAAGGTTATGCTGATTGGATAAAGCCATTGTACTGACCCTAATGTGTTGTCATCTTTAATATATAATACACTCGATAAAAGGAAGGTCATCAGGGCAGAGTCTGTCAACCAGAGTGGTCATACCTGCAAGGAGCTGGATTACTTTTGGGGCAGTCAGCCCTGTGGCAATCAGAGGATGCAGAGGTCTGAGGAGCAGGCTTTAAGTTTTCCCTTGTGATAAGAGCAGGTCCTGTCTGCTAATGAGTGATCCCAAGAAATCCAGGAGCAGAAATGAAACTCTTGCTTGAGCACATGGAGGCCACAGCTGCCTCTGAAACTAAGTTCTGAGTTCTGGGGTTCTAGAGGTCCAGCTTGAGAAGAATGGCCCATTGTTGAGTAAGAGGGGCCCTGGCCTAGCAGCACTGCTCACAGCATGTACCCATGGACACCAGGGAACAGACTTTCTGTGGGCCAGAAGCCTAACTAACTGTGGGAAGCTGGCTGGCTGTGGATTGGTGTTTGAATCTTAGCACTGTCCTAATCCATGTGACCTTAAACATGTTGTTTCCTCTTTCTGAGGCTTGGTTTCCTC